AGCAGTTTTATGGATTCAAACCATGAGTTGCTATGACGCCACGCTTGGCAGGCCTAAAGGGGAGTTTGATGCCCAACAGGAACAAGCTTTTCAGAAAATGGATACTCTGTTTAAGACTGCTCTCTTGAGTGTTCTTGGTGAGAACATAGTTGATGCTTATACGTGAATTGACAATGAAAAAGATATGTGGGACGCACTCGAGGCCAAGTTTGGGGTCTCCGATGCCGGCACTGAGTTGTACATCATGGAGAAATTCTATGATTACAGGATGACTGAAGAGCGCTCCGTGGTTGAGCAAGCTCATGAGATACAGTCATTTGCTAGAGAGCTTGAGCACTTCAACTGTATCCTACCGGACAAGTTTGTTGACGGAGGTATCATCACCAAGCTTCCTCCTTCGTGGAGGAACTTTGCTACCTTACTGAAGCATAAGAGACAGGAGTTTTCCGTTCCGGATCTCATTGGTACTCTTGATGTCGAAGAAAAGGCGAGAGCAAAGCACACGTGCTCAAGGTATTGAGGGAGGATCTAGTGCCAATCTGGTACAGAAGAAAAACTTCCAGCCCCACAAGTTCAAGAATAAGGGCAAGTTTGATGGTAAAGCAAAGTTTGATGGGAAGAACAAGGCTGTGCAACACACGAACTTCAAGAAGAAGAATGACAAGAAGAAAGCTGTTTGTCATGTGTGCGGGGATCCTGATCATTGGGCTCCTAGTTGCCCTAATCGCTATGACAAGTATCATCCTGGGAAAGGCGGCAAGACTGCTAATATTGTCATTGGAGACATTGACATGAAGGATGATGGGTATGGTATATTTCCCACTGTTCTTTCAGCATGCCATTCTCCTGATTGGTTGATTGACACGGGTGCTAATGTGCATGTGTGCGGTGATATTTCCATGTTTTCGTCTTATCAGACCACAGGGACTTCAACCGTGCTGATGGGTAACGGTTCAAGTGCTTTTGTTCGTGGTGTTGACACGGACGATCTGAAGTTTACTTCGAGGAAGATCGTGCAATTGAAGAACGTGCTTTATGTCCCCTCCGTCAATAAAAATCTTGTTAGCGGATCTCTTCTGTGTAGAGATGGCTATAAGCTTGTCTTTGAGTGGAATAAATTTATAATATCCAAGTACGGAACCTTTATTGGTAAAGGCTATGAGTCAGGATGCCTGTTTCGTTTATCCTTATCAGACGTTTGCAATAAAGTTATTAATCATGTTTGCAACAATAGTGAATCAAATGTGTGGCATTCACGTCTTTGTCATGTTAACTTTGGTTGCATGTCACGACTAGCGAAGTTGAACTTGATCCCTAGTTTCAGCACTGTCAAGGGATCTAAGTGTTAAGTTTGTGTGCAAGCTAAGCAACCTCGTAAGTCTCACACGACTGCGGAAACGAGAAATCTTGCACCACTGGAGCTCATACATTCAGATATATGTGAAATGAATGGTGTTTTGACAAAAGGTGGAAAGAAATATTTCATGACGTTAATTGACGACTCCACTAGATACTGTCGTGTGTATCTTCTGAAATTTAAGGATGGGTCTTTGAACTTTTTCAAGATCTATAAAGCTGAAGTGGAAAACCAACTTGATCGAAAAATCAAGAGGCTTAGGTCCGACCATGGTGGAGAGTATTTTTCCAATGAATTTGATGCTTTTTGTACGGAACATGGTATAATCCATGAGAGAACGCCTCCCTACTCACCTCAGTCAAATGGGGTGGCCGAAAGAAAGAACCGTACTCTAACTGATTTGGTTAACGCCATGTTAGACACATCGGGTCTCTCCAAGGCATGGTGGGGGGAGGCGATATTGACAGCATGTCATGTCCTAAACCAAGTCCACACAAAGAACAAAGGGATAACTCCATTCAAGGAATGGGAGAATAAAAGGTTAAAGCTCTCTTGTCTACGAACCTGGGGTTGTTTGGCGAAAGTCAATGTGCCAATTCCAAAGAAGCGCAAACTTGGACCAAAGACCGTGGATTGTGTTTTCCTGGGATATGCTTTTCATAGCATTGGTTATAGATTCTTGGTTGTAAAATCTGAGGTACCTGACATGCATATTGGTACGATCATGGAGTCGAATGATGCGACTTTCTTTGAAGATATCTTTCCCATGAAGGATATGGCTACCTCATCTAATCAAAAAATGCCTAGTTCATCGAATCAGGAACCAGTTACAATTACCGAACCTGCAATTTCAATGGAACACTTTGAAAGTCCCGTGGAGGAGAACAATGAAGTTCCTACTAGGAGCAAGAGACAGAGGACTGCAAAGTCCTTTGGTGATGATTTTCTTGTGTATCTCATAGATGACACTCCCAGTTATATTTCAAAGGCCTATGCATCTGAAGATGCTGACTACTGGAAGGAAGCGGTTCGTAGCGAGATGGATTCCATCTTGGCGAATGAAACTTGGGAGATAACTGGTCGTCCTTATGGGTGCAAACCTATAGGATGCAAATGGGTATTCAAGAAGAAGCTTAGGCTTGATGGTACTATTGAAAAGTACAAGGCTTGGCTCGTGGCTAAGGGTTATACCCAAAAGGAAGGTGAAGACTTCTTTGATACTTACTCACCTGTGGCTCGACTGACCACTATTCGAGTTCTACTTTCACTAGCTGCCTCGCATGGGCTTCTCGTTCATCAAATGGATGTTAAGACTGCTTTCCTAAATGGAGAGTTGGACGAGGAAATTTATATGGAACAACCAGATGGGTTTGTACTAGATGGTCAGGAAAGAAAAGTGTGCAAGTTGCTGAAGTCTTTGTATGGACTCAAGCAAGCACCCAAACAGTGGCATGAGAAGTTTGAAAGAACTTTAACAGCTGCAGGCTTTGTTGTAAACGAAGCTGACAAATGTGTGTACTATCGCCATGGTGGGGGCGAGGGAGTTATCCTTTACTTGTATGTTGACGACATACTGATTTTCGGAACAAATCTGAATGTTGTTAAGGAGGTCAAGGACTTTCTATCTTGCTGTTTTGAGATGAAAGATTTAGGAGTGGCTGATGTCATTCTAAACATCAAGTTGTTGAGAGACGATGATGATGGGATCGCATTGCTTCAATCTCACTACGTGGAAAAGATCTTGAGTCGCTTTGGCTATAGTGACTGCAAGCCCTCTCCAACACCATATGATGCGAGTGTGTTGCTTTGAAAGAATCGAAGAATTGCTAGAGACCAATTGAAGTATTCTCAGATTATTGGCTCACTTATGTACTTAGCTGGTGCTACAAGACCTGACATCTCTTTTGCTGTTAGCAAACTGAGTCGGTTTGTTTCAAAACCAGGAGATGTACATTGGAAAAGCTCTAGAGAGAGTTTGGCACTGCGAATTATGGAATTCACTACACTGGGCACTCAAAGGTGCTTGAAGGGTATAGTGACTCAAACTGGATCTCAGATGTTGATGAGATAAAGGCCACGAGTGGTTATGTATTCACTCATGGAGGTGGCGCTGTTTCTTGGAAGTCTTGCAAGCAGACCATCTTAACGAGGTCAACAATGGAAGTAGAACTCACATCACTAGATACAGCTACGGTCGAAGCAGATTGGCTTCGTCGACTCTTGAATGACTTGCCGGTTGTTGAGAAACCTGTACCGGGTATCCTTATGAACTGCGATAATCAAACTGTGATCACGAAAGTGAGCAGCTCAAAGGATAACATGAAGTCATCAAGACACGTTCATAGAAGGTTAAAGTCTGTCAGAAAAATGAAAAACTTTGGAGTTATTGCATTGGATTATATCCAAACGTCTAAAAAGCTGGAAAGTTTTTACTGTAGTGGATATTGAATACGAACGCTGCACCCTTCAGCTGCTGTCTGTTCGTTTCGTCTCCCGCGTTCCCTTCAGCTCCCGGCGCAGCCTCTCGCCTCCTTCTCTTGCGCCTATAAAAGGGAGGTCGCTCCTCTTAGAGAGGCGCACCAGAACTTCTCCTTCCTCTCGCTACCGGTTCCAATCTCTGAGCTACTGTTGTCTTCCTCATCCCGGCTTGCGGCGTGCACCGCGAGTCGGGACAGTAGGCCTCCGAAAGCTCACCTCTTTGAGTCCTGTACGGGAGAAGGGTGATAAGGTTTTTGGGGAGCGCCCAGCGCGACTACTGACTTCTTCATCACGGACACCCCGGACTCCGACGACTACTTCCCCGACGACGACTACTTCCCCGACATCGACAACCTCCTCGACGACATGGCTGGCGAGGACATCGACCCCAAGTCCAGTACTGCTGCTGCTGCTGTCACGTATGTGTTCTTCTTCTTTCTGTTAGATGTCCTGCCACAGTTTCTCGTACTAGTACTTGCCCTAGATGTGTTAGGTTCTACTCCATACATGCAACTAGCTCCACAGTCTGCTCTAGATATGTTAGGCTACAGTTCATATATGCAGATGTTATTTACCTTCTGTCTGTCAGAATGCATGACTTGTTTTATCTCTACTATATTAGTCACGCTTTACCTAGTATTTCTGTTAATAAAATCATTTGATAAATTGCTCATATTTCCAACAGTATTGACTGCCTGAAATCTGGCTCCAGCCTTCTCAACGATTATCCGTTGCCTTGGGCCCCTGCTGTATCCGATGGGATTAATCGATCAACCCTCTAAAATACCCTTCTTGCATTGGTAGCCCATATGCTTGATTGCTTTAACCTACAGCCACCTAGCTAGTGTTAATTTTACTTGCAGGATGGAAGAACTATTGACTTGAGCTAGATCAGAGCTATTGTGTTCTCTGTTGGCATTTAGAATGTTGTTGTGCTGTTATGCATGCCGATCTCCCTGACCATGAAGCATCCGGGTGAATAAATAAAGCCTTGCATAAATATCTTGGTTCTATAAGATTCTGTTTTGTTTGCCATGTTTCTCCAAGTAATGGGAACTAGTAGTAATAATGAGTTCCATTTTCTTGTGTTCTGAGTTGCTCACTCCATAAACCATTTTGTTATTTCGATTCAGAGTATATCAAGCAGCATCGGAGATGGAGCCAAATGGATGGCCAACAAAATCAAAGGTAAGGTACCCTTCCCTAGCTTTGCTCATCCTAGTTCAAAAGGCACACCACGCATGATTTCATCTCCCCCGGAAATGATAGGGCGCTCACATTCAGAATGGCGTGAAGCTCTTTCTTCTCTGTCTACTGCAATCTGCATAAACACTTGCATCTTAACAATGCGGATGTTCTGCATTTCTTGTGGTAATCTTAACTCAAAAAGGAGGTGATCATCTCATGAATAATGTTTGTCATGTTTACTTATACAACACCAATACCTGCACTTATAACTACTTAAGGGGTCATTAATTTGTTTACCGGTCCGTGTCGCCATGCGAGCAAGAAAGTAACCATTTTGGTTTCAGGGAAAATGCAGAAACCATTTCCCGAACTCCTAAAGGAATACGACCTTCCAATGAGCCTCTTCCCCATTCGCAAAAAATGGGCCTCTTCCCACAAGATGCGACCAATTACGAGTTCGACGAGGAGACAAAGAAGCTCATGGTGCATATCGCGTCAGTGTGCGAGGTCGGCTACAAGGATTCGTTGGTGCTCCGGTTCTTCACCTGCGTGACCGACAACCTCGACAAGGGGAAGCTGTCGGAGGTGGAGGGCATCAAGACCAAGATCCTCATTTGGATCAAGGTGACCGCCATCAGGACGGAAGCCTCCAAGGTGCATTTCTGCGCCGGCTTGAACAAGACCTGGAATCGCCACGCCTACGAGGTTGTCAGGGATGGTGTTTCCATAGACAAGTTCTAGATTAATTTCGTAGCAACTCTGTGTGAAAAGCTTGTACCACTGTGGTCATCTTCGTCCGTCGTGTTCTTCGCAAAAAAAATGTTCGTCCGTCATGTGCGTAAGAGAAAACAGATTTGTAAATTAAGCGGCACATCGATCGAGTTAACAAAAGAAGTACCTACGAAATTTATCCTACGTGAACCGGCAAAATCTGATTGATTCCGACAGAGATTAAACACGATCATCGGGTCATGTATGATGATTATTTCAAGGCACACATCTGCGTGGGTTGGAAGGCATAGTCTTTTTTTGAACCGTTGAAGACATATTGATACGGACTAGCAAAAGGGCCCGTGAGTTGCAACGGAAGAAAAAAAAATCATAATCTTCAACGGCCATGACAACATTTTGCTGCATCATCGATAACATTTTGACAAACATTCTGTTCAATTTCATTAATATTTTTTAGTACATAATTTTTTTAAAAACATCATGAATATTTTTTGAAAATCTGTTTGGAGGCCTAGTTGATTTCTGAGATACACACTAAGAGACCTGTTTGGTGGGATCCTATTTGATGCTGGCATGCTCACGGAGCTGCGGCTTCACTGAAGCGGTGCGAGCGATGACGCCGCACATGCCAGCCCACTTCAAGGAGCAACCAGTTTTGGAACCTCCTAGAAGGTTCCTTCAACCGATTTTCTTCTGTTTTTTCTGATTTTCTTTTTGATTTCTTTTTATTTTTCTGCTTATTTTTTTATTTTTTTCAATTTCTTTTTCCTGATTTCCTTTTTTCATAAATCCAGAATTATCAAAAATTGCTAAACGTTCAAAAAATATGGAATTCTATTTTTTTGTTCATTTTCACACAAAAAGTTCATATTTTTCAAAAAAATCACGTTTCAGAAATGTTTATGAAATGTTCATCATACATTAAATTTTTTAACTGTGTATAAAAAATGTGCATTGTACATTTTAAAACATGATCACTTTGTATAAAAAAATGGTCTCAGTGTATAAAAATGTTCATCGTTCAAAGCAAATGTTCACCGTACATTAAATTCATTTTTTATAGAAATATTCATAGTTCAAATTTTTGTTTTGGAATTTAAATGCGTTCACAATTTCTTTGAAATTTCTTGTTCATGTTTTTAAGGATTTTGAAATTTTGTTCACATTTTCAAAACTTGTTCACGTTTTAAAAATTGTTCATTTTTTCCAATTCCATTCACCTTTTCAAAAGTTGTGTTTTATAATTTTGTTCATGTTCGATCACTTTTTCAGAAAATCAATTGATGTTTTTAATATTTTTCTACAATTTCAAAACTTGATCACAATTTCAAAAACTGTTTGCAATTTTTTCGATTTTTTTCCCCAGTTTTCCAAAAATTGTTGAAAATTTTCGTTTTTTTAATCTGCCGCTGCATTTGGTTTATAAATGTTCTCGCTGTCCATTAATTGCTTATGGGCAGTAGCCCAAGTGGTAGGCATCATTGTGTGTCCATCAAGGTGTTGCGAGTTCGATTCCTGAAGGAGCACATTTTTTTTTTGGAATTTTCGGCTCGTATTGTGCCAGTGAATGGACCGGCCCATTAAGATTGTGGCCTGCGCTCTGGTTGTTTGACGGGCCAGACGTTTTTTGTGGTGGGGACCGGCCCATTAAGATTGTGGCCTGCGCCCTGGTTGTTTGACGGGCCAGACGTTTTTCATGGTGGGCTAGAAGCTAACTCGTCTCAGGCGAGTGACGAACGAATAGATTGACCTGTAAAAAAGCAAACGAACAAACAGATCGAGGCGTGCGGACGACGTACGAAGCCTTTTTTTAGTGCGGACGACGTACGAAGCCTTTTTTTTACCAAAAAAAGTGAAGAAACAATGCTCCTTTTAATATTACGTAAAGATGTGTTGTGCACACGACGAATAGTTGTACTACTATTCAAAAATTCCTAGGGGCACGCAGGTGTGTGGGCACCCGTTTCGTTACATACTTTCTTTCTTTTTAACCCTGTTTCACCAGTCCTTCATCGTCTCCTTCTTTTCATCCCTGTTCATCTTCGTCTTCCTTGAGATCAGTTCTATCAAGATTCATACATATGCGAAACATGGATCTGGATCCATATGTTGTGGGTGTCAAGGTACACCCTTATGGGCTTGGTTACTCCATTATAGGTTGTGGGAATGTGTAGCACCCGAGAATCATGCTACAGTAATCCCTTGTTGATGATGCTATGTCATCACTCCTACTGTTGCTAATCCTCATTTGCTTTCGAACTCAATTCAAATTCAATTTCAGATTAAAGTCAAAATTCAATTTTCTCAAACATGAAAACTAAAATGTTCAAAGTGTGGAAAATAATCTATAACTAATTTTGGTGGTGGAAACAACTTTTTACAAGGTTTTTAAGTGCTCTAAGCTAATCAAAACTGTAGTTAAATCATTTATTTAAATGATTTCTAATTTATAAAAATACTAAACTACTTTATTTTGGTGCCAAGTTAATTATAGCAGTCGCCTAAGTAAAATGGTATTTTAGGTGCAAGATTAGTTTTTATAAAACTATTTTGCTTTCTGAAAATAAAAGAAAACGGAAAAATTTAAAAACAAATGTAAAAGAAGAGGTGAGCTGCGCCGGGCATGCTCCCATCGCACCACCTCCTCGCCATCGCCGCGAGAGGATAAGGCCCGGGGCGCCTCGGTCATCTCCCCCGCGCCTCACTCTCTCCTCTGTCACCCCACTCCCCTCTGGGCTCTCTCCAGATCCCCTTTCCCTCCACCTCCACGACGCACTCGTCGCCGGCCACTTCGCCCCGCCGCAACCACCGCCGTCCCCGCACCTCGTCGACACATCTACGAGCTCCACCGTCGCCCTCTACATCGACTGGTGCCGCCCGTTGGAGCTCCTCAGCTCTGCATCGCGAGATCGCCGTCGTCTTCTTCCTCTTCGGTCGCCGGCGTCGGCGTCGATTCCGGCGAAGCCTGCAGCACCTAAGCCTCCCAACGGCCACCGTGTGCCTCCCGGTGAGCTCTTGCCCGAACCTCTCTCTCCCCTGCCTTTTTCCGCGCCTGTAGCCGCTGTCCTCGAGCGCCTCTCGCCTAAGCGTACGCGTACGTGCGCGCTGCTCAGCTGCTGTTGCGCTGCTGCTGCTTCTCGTATTGCCGCTGCTCGACTGTCGTTAGCTGCTGCTTGTTGCTACCCTTGCTGCACTGCCGCTAGTCGTTGCCACCGGCTGCTACTACTGTTGGCCATCGCTGTGGCCATGGCCGAGCCGCCATGCATGTGTGTGTGCGTGTTGTGCGTGGGTGTCGTGTGTGCGTGCAGTGTGTGTGTGGGCGCGCGCGCGCGTTGAGTGTGTGGCCGCACCCACCTTCGGCCGGCCTCGCCGCTGCCGCTCCCAGCTACTGCTCTGCCCGATGCACTCTGCTGCTGCTCCTCTACTACAGTAACATTCAATTACTGTAGCAGTAGCCAGCTTTGAAACTAATACACTGATTAGCCCTCTTGACAGCCCTTGAACAGAAACTAAACAAAAGTTAATATGAGTAAAATTCATGTGGGCAGGAAGTACACTTGACAAACCTCATTTTATCCCACTGGACTAAATCCATTTGATGCGCGGATTAAATCCTATGAAATTCACAAAATGCTAAGTTTTGTTAGTTGAAAACTGAAAAACAGCTTTATATCCATAGCTACTTTAGAGTTGTTGATGTTCAAGCAATTGAACTCTAATATGGAGAAAAGTGTTACTAACAGGTAGATCACAGAAAAATGCTCACATCTGATATAAGGCACAAAATCATAGGACATACAGAACAATAGCTTTAGCCTCCGGATAACAGCTAAGTGATGTTTAAAAATAAGCAATTCTCAGACTTAGTAGAATTTCAGAGTTACCAGATATTGCTTAAACTTCGGAAATTCATAGTAATTCATCCGTAGCTCAGATGAAAATAATTTATATATGAAAATTGCTCAGAAAAACATGACGGATCTGAATACATGGTCCGTTTACCTGCCAGATGCCTCTAACTAGCTGAACTTGGAACATTCTCCCTCCGGTCATCTGTCTGACACAGGTCCGGAACCGGAAAAATATTCCCGATTGAATTCCCCCTTTACTTATATCGTGTAGCTATACGTTAGGTCACACCCGGCATAACATATTGTCATGTTATGCTTTGTGATCCTATGTTTGCTTTATATTTATTGTTTCTTCCCCCTCTTCTTTCCGGTAGACTCCGAGACCGCGGTTGAACCAGTGATCGACTACTTCATCGTTGAAGATCCGTATCTGTCTGCTGAGCTTCCAAGCAAGCCCCCCTTTGATCATCCCAATATCGCCCATTCAATTCTCTCATGCTTGCATTAGATTTTGCTACTGTTATTGTTTGCTTCTATTCTGATGCATAACCTGCTTTTGTAACCTTCTTATTGTTACCTACCTGCTTATTCTAAACTGCTTAGTATAGGCTGGTTAGACATCCATCAGTGACCCCCCATCTTGTCCCAGTTTCCCCGCTTCATGTTCGATGACTCGATCAACATGATCGACGTCTAGGCCCCGACACTGCACATCACCCCCCTTAGTTGTACAACTCTACAAAGTTACTATCGAGTGCCGAGGGTGATACCTCATCAGCACTTCTGATGTTAACCTTGTAGTGTAGCTATTCGGTCATGATCATCGAGGGTGATTCCTCCTTGACCACTCCCGATAATGACTCTGTCGTGCAACCCCTCAAGTGTGGACCTACGAGGGTGATTCCTCCAAGTCCACCTTGATGGTTACATCATTTGGAATCCGTCGAGGGTGATTCCTCAGGTTTCCCCCTTGGTGTTAGACACACGGTTACTATGGTTACTATGACTTTACACTGAACCATGTTACTAAAGACGGGTCGGCCCCAGGGGATACCCGCGCAAGCTTAATTGCGAGTGATGTGGAGTCGGGTTGACCTGGAGGGTGCCCGCGAGATAATTATGAGGCGTGGCCGAGCATTCTTAGCCCTTCCCGCAAGT